CCTTAGTTGGCGATCGCCCGCCACATCTTAACATCATCGGAGAACAGCAAGAAAGCTGAGGCAAGCAAACATCCAAGCTCGTCAATGAACAAGGAAAACAGACGCGGTCCCCGAGCTGATCTTTGGGGAACTCCACATTCGATATAAATCGGGTCGGACAACGCATTTCGAACTCTGACCTGCAATTATCCACACTGCAGGAAATTCCTGATCCACCGAAGGACCGGATCAGCAACTCCATGGCTTTCGAGTCTGTGACCCAGAATGTGGTGGTTCAGGCGGTCGAAGGCTTTGGAGAAGTCGAAGTAAATGAGGTCTGTCCCTCTGCCTTCACCGGGCGCTTCCATCCAACAACTACCTGCAAGGATCATGCTTAGCCCACGTTAAACAAGTACTTGTAAAGACTCTGACAGTAGGAGGAACAGTAACTTGTTCTCTAAAAAGAGCCACCAACCGTACGCTGTTATTTCCTAGGACCTCACTACAGCAGTAACAAACCGAATTTCGGTCTACATCCGTGCTCCGTCACTTAATTTCACGGTTTGTGACCGCTTGCGCAATACCGCACTGGGCGTATTGCTCACCTGTGATATAACTTGGAACCTTAAAAGGGCAATCTAAAGTGATCAACAGGTCACTGAAGCACCTTGCTCGATGCATCGGGAATCCAAAGTTAGTGTTTAATGATATCATTGTGAAAGTTGAAATACTGGGTCCACTTAATTTAGTTCATAATCTTAGTGAGAAGACGTGGATTGTAGTTGCGGTGACACTAACATAGGCAGAACTGATCGCCGACTATCTCAAAAGGTAGCTGAACATTTCAAAATGTGACTAAGGCAAGCATTGAGTCAACAAGGTGGAGAGGACCAAGCGATGAACAGAAACCCCGTCGCGTCTATCGCTAAGCACTTCATGCCGACTCATCATCCGATGGACCCGATGAGCTCCTTTAAGGTGTTAATGCGCAACAAAAACTCTAAACTGATGGTAATCAGTGAGACGTTACTGATAAGGATGAATCGTCTAGCCTTATATACTCAGAAACAACTGAGGCGATCATTTGGATTGCCACGGATGTAATTTCGTAAAACACGCCAATTTTGTTGAGCTTGTTTATGTTACTAGGTTACTACCCTATATAAATCTGCTTATTTCTTGGTTAGATTGCGTTGCGACTGAAGAGAACAATCGAAATGTTGACATTTCGCAATCTGTATTCTCACTCCGTTAATGACATCATTGTGTCTAATCACTTGCGATATTGCGAAAGACTGGCGTTGAAGGTACTCACCGATGCCAGTCACTCCATCGTGCATTGTCAGTATGCAACCCCACTTCTTCGACCAGACAAACGTACTAAGTCACTTATGTCCGCAAACGAGCTTATGGTACGTCGGTTGTTCCCTACTTGTCACGTTTGCCGAAAGATCAAGATGTAGTCAAAGCAGACCTTATTGCCAGACTGAATCGATTATGCACCAATGCCAACTTCTCAAATCGGTGGTGTATCCCATTTCATTTTTTATACTTTAATTTAGTTATTCTTTCTTTAGGGTGTATGTGTTGTTGAATATTCACACTACATGGGTGTATAAAACGCATTGTTAACTTGACTGACTTGACTAGGATTACCACGAAAGCACCCGCACCGACGCAAACTCGAAACTGAGACCATTGAACAGTAAGTCGGACCCAGGAACCACTCACCACTGGCCGGCATGTGTACACAGAACAAGGGGCGATGACGCTTTATCGTAGAATCTGTATGACACGCTCAATTACAGTTGGACTATTCCGGTCGTATGGCCATTTGTACCTTCCTGAGCTGTCAGCACAGTAAGGTGAATATTGACAAATGCACGCACTTTGTATCGTCCGTTCAGTGTCAACAACGATGAATCGAAAGTATACGAATTAATAGATCGTGTAAACGAAAAAAAGCGAACTAAGGCTGATCGAGTCTTGCCTAAGAAGGCAAAGCACTGATATATTCTAGCTTATGGCAACAGATTGGTCGGATCGGAGGATGCGCTACTTAGTGTGATGCAGCAGGATGTTGAACGCCGTGTTGGCTGCAGTTCAGTGAGCTAAGATCAAAAGTGTTTACCGATGTTGGCGACCAGTGTGCATGCGCAGCCTGAAATGGACAGGATTTCTGCGCAGTCGAGCACCGCACCCATTATGGCACAGGTTACTACGTTCGAAAACATAGTTCTCCATCGATTTTAACTAAGTGACTAACTCGGCAGATACATACGATTAGAGTTAGCCCCGACGGGCCGATCTTCCTGAGGTAAAACTAGCAACAGCTTATGCGCTCGGGAGACGATGATAAGTGTAGAAAGGCCAAAAAGTACTCAGAGTGACGGAGACCAAATGCCAAGTAGCCCCCCCAGTGCAATAATGTCACCAAAAAAAGACAGCTCTGGGAATTAATTCTTTTTCGGCACGGTAGGCACTGGATTCTCGTTTAAATGTTTGTTCCCAGTTAACTACTTAGGCGAGTTGTCTGCGTCATTTCACCACTAGAACGGCCTATAGATGCCAGTTCGGTTCGCAGCGCTCCGTAAGCCCTACCTTTTGCTCTCGATTGAAAAGTCCCCACGTGCCTAGCAAACGAGAACGCATGCCACCAGTCGGGGAGTATATACATGCAGTTATTAATAATGTACAGGGAAGGGCGATCCGGACCGAAAAGTCGACAAGGGATGTGGATGAACATGAGTTGAATTTGGCAAGATGGTTAACGCCATAGATTCCAGCAGAGATTGTAACTTATTTATATTTCTGCTTAGCACATTGAAAGACAGGGGGTAATTTGACAATGGCCATCTATACACCAGGAAAAACCGGCCAGTGCCTGCTCCCAAAGCTATATCATACAACATGTTTATGGTTTACACATTCTAGGCACAGACAACGGAACCAAAAGTTGGGGCCTCTAAACTACCGGTAAACGCTTTTGCCCACTCCACCAAATGACTTGTCCCCTAACCCCTGAATGAAGTCAGCGCCATTTGAAAAGTGCCGTGTTACGAATAGGCCCAGGAACCGAACTGGACAAGGCTCATTTTGCGGTCCAGAATGAGATCGCGTATCGCAATCCATTCGTTGCGGTGCTTCAAACAAACATCAGGGATCCCTTGTCGCATGCATTTCCGACTCGAAGAGATTTCGGCGAGAAGCATTACCACCATCTGTGGATATGACATGAAATCGGGCTTACTGCATCTCGGATATGAACACCACTTAGATGAAGCAACATAAGCGCAAGCTGGACGACATGCACCCGGATACTGTGTTGCCGAACATGATTATTTATCTGGACTGGAACGGTTATTTTAAGAATATGAGTGCGATGTGATAACAAGACTCCTTAGCGTCCTTACAAGTGCCAACATCAACGAAAAAGTTAGGGATGACAACCTCATGACCACAAAAAGAGCATGTGCTGACTGGGCACTGGCAGTTAGAGATGCAGTATTTCCACAATTGACGCCGACACTAGGCCACTTTATTCATGTGAGATATTTACCAAACGCGACAAGTATAACTAGTTAAAGTAGGAATGATAGTGGCGACTAAAGTGTGATCAAATTTAATCGCAGAATGACCATCTCGTTACATAATCACAAAGTTTGGTGGTTATCAAACTGAGCACTCCTTCATATAGTTAGGTGATAAAGATCGACCACAAAATCAGTAAATCGATCAGAAACACAACACTTAAAGTTAGGACACGGGAAGGAGAAAAACAGTTGGAACGTATATGCAGTTTTTTGGGTATCTGTTCATGAAGTGGCTGAAATACAGTTCGGTTCAATTCACTTGATCAACTATGATCCGAGCATCGAAGTACGGTTGATCCAGTTGCCACGACTCACATCACAAGAATAACAATAGCTAACCATGGCAAGATAGTGGAGTTAGAGGCAAATAGGATGTGAAGAAAAGGAAACAAGAAGGAAGTTAAACTAAGCAGAAACGAACGAAAATGAAGAACGAGATGGAAGAAACCAAATGCAGAAACGCCACTAACTGCGTGACTGCGCCATATCTGATAAGGTCTCCAACCATCGGTGCAGACCAACCCGAGGCTCGCATCCACGAAGACGGCACACACATACCTGGCCAAGTCGCTTAATCAATTTCTTCATGCCTCTGTGCCACGTCATAGACTGGCCACGTCGCGGTTTCACCCAAGTTGGTGCAGCCACGACGTATAATGCACGCCGAGGAAGGCAGTCAGGCTGAATTAGAGGAGCATCGCACAGCAGTTAAGTGCTGTTTTTGGGGTATTTTTTCGTGACATTCCACAAGAACAAGCAAAAGTAACTACTAATATGAACTGTCTGTGTCATGCCACATTATGAGTGACTTCAGACTCATCATAAAACCGGTGGTAGTAGTGGGAAGTCGTCACTGAAGTGGGTATGGGTACCGTGTGATCTTGACTCCTAGGCCGAAAGCGATGAAAACGTGGAACTTCAGAATGTGACTAGGCGAATCCGACGGGGGTGAAACGTGAAGACGCGACGTTGGTTCCAACGGTTTCACTTACTTGCAGTTTGTGTGGTAGCTTCAAATCCAGAACCCACAACCATATGTGAAAACTGTTCTCAGTTGAAGAAGGTGGCGATGCATTGGTAGAAGCAACATGGGGATCTATAAGGACGGCGTAACACAGTGGCCTAATGATCGATTGGTTAAGTGCAACGATTGATGACTGAACTGCGGCACGGAAGTACGGATTAGTGTAGGACCACAGAAGACGGTAAGTTTCAGTGCCCAAGGTTGCGAAGAATACGATGGTAGATGACAAGGCGAGACTGTAACACGATGGATGGGAGGAGACGACAGAAAGGGAGTAACAGAAAAAGGTGTGAACCGCCCACTAAACCGATACTTTTTCACGCTTTCAACGAGTTTCTAAAACAATGCGTTTACTAGACGTAATGGGGTGGAAGTCAAATAACTGTTTTTTTTCTATTTTTCAGTTTTGCCAAGTGGTGACGAAATCATGCAGGGACAAGGGGCACTCGGAAACCGTTGATGAAGAGTACAAGGACACTGCCAGTGTGCACTTCAATGACAAGTCACAGCTACTCGCTGAGGCCAAGGATCAAGATCGGCGGTTACCGTCTGCGAATTTTTGCAAACCAATTTTATCCGTCAATGGTCGTCCGGTGCGCATGGCCGACGACAAAAAACGTCCAACGACGACAACTACAGCAGGAAGAGGCAAACAGAGCAAAACACGATTTGCCAACATGGGGCCAAATGGCAGGGCAGAGGACGTGTTGTTATCCGGTCAGCGTAATCATCCATCACACTCGACAAACATAGGACGCGATGGTGCACAAACATCTAGAATGGTACATAAAAGGCATGAGAGGGACCGAGGAGAACATAACACATTGGGCAGTAAAATGCGAAGCCAATCACTCCCGCCAGTTGGGGACAACAAACAAAAAATAATTGCAAATAGTGGATTGTTCGCTCACGAAGGTGCCTGCCCATTCTCGAGAATACCGCATCCACAGGACGATGACGACTATCATTGGTGGACGTATTGCGCTCCGACGTCACCGTCCGCGTGCTGCCATGCGCATTCCACCTATTGCTCAATTGGAACGGACAGTATGGGTCGACATAGACATCAAAAACACCCGCAAAGCTGCCACATGTGTTTGCAACACTTGAACGCACTCCGAAAGCAAAAGAGTGGCCAGTCCACCCAATGCGCAGTCTGCCGCCGAGTGGACAAAAATCAACCACCCACATGCACCTGTGGTCATCACTCGTGCTCAAGTAGCGATGTGACGTCGGACCACCACCAACACAGATCCAACATAGGAGCGTGTAATATTGCGCACAGACCAAGTTGCCAATTGTATGTGTGCACCCAGCATATGGCAAATCCATTCCCAACATGCTGTCAGGCACAAAACGGCAGTGTACGCTATGAGTACAGAGACGGTCAACTGAGATTGGTCCACACAAACCAACCAAATGAGATGTCAGCCACAATAGGTTCCTTCCCTTCAGCGATGAGACACAAACGGTTGGAGAATCCAACAGACGGCAACGCTGCAGTACCTCTGATTAGGCTGACGAAGAATTTGGAGAGGGAACTACAAGATATACGTGAGGCCATTCGGTCATTTCTGACAAGGATCGCGAAAAAGGACGCCGACAACGTAGCTCTACGAGAATGGAGAATGGTCGCCAAAGTATTGGACCGCATATTTTTTATCTGTTACTTAGTAATACATCTAGGTGCTGCCTTTGGTCTGCTCATTCCAAGCTCTCAGGAAACCAACGCGATTGAATTTATGCGAGAGTACCGGTTGAAAAATTACAACGCAACCTACACAGATGAAGAGGCGGCCAGTCTCTCGCCCTTGGCTTTGTCTCCCGTGAATCCGCATAATCGCGTCTTCGGCCGCTCCCTCGATCGTGTGATACCACCGAAGGAAGAAGGCCAACCGCAAGTGGTAATGGATACAATAAGGAAGAAATCAGAGAAGCAGGCGGTACACACAGATGGATCATTCGAAATTAAGAGCTCATCGGAAGGAGTTGGAAAACTATCCCCCTACCAGCAACTAGTCGACAAGGGAAGTGTCGGTCAGCGCAGAATGAGCGGCTCTTCTAACAACCACCTACCACAAAACGATCAACCGATCTTCGTCTACACCTCAGGTCCTCTAGATGCTGCAGAACCGAATAAGCACGCAAATGAGTACGCAGCCACACCGATCTACTAGTCCCATTGAACATAAAATGGTTGTGAGCTGACAAGGTCAGTCATTATCGATTGGTTGTGATGAACTCGATCATAGTTTTGTACTCTGTTTCTAAAAAGCAACTTTTTCCATATTCGATTGACATACCTCTTGGAAAGCATGGCATTTAGCAACACATACTGTTTAGGTGCGGCACAATATTCGCATGCCTTTAAATTCAAAGACATGGTTAATAAAACCACCGATTTGTAATCATTTATTTTTTTGAACTCCCCATCCGAATCCATGAACTAAGAACGCAAAGTATGGTCTTCCGGTTGGTGAGGTGGGTAGGCGACGAAGAACGAGACATTCCACTGGCAGAAGCGTCGAAAGAAGGGCTTCGCCGTCACAAGAACTAGAGTCAAATCATGAAATTCGTCACAAACACACCACATACTGTGTAGCACCTCTCAAATCGTAGGCTCCGTATAGTCCGGTTACGCAACAACGATTCTAGCATCAAATGATGCTTAACTCACGTTTCAGTTAGGAAAATCCAGAATAGCGAACAAGTTCGCTTTCGACTACTTGTAGTATTTACTTAGTTCATAGCAATTAGATTACAAGTCAGACAGGTCAACTATCAATCCGCTTCGCTTTATCGGGACTCGTTAAAGGCGCCCATTCCCTGGGTCCGCTTTAGAGAACCGGACTCATAACCGCCGGAAAGCAGCTTATATTACGGAGCCATAATAGATGACCATAAAGAATTGGAATCGATCTCCGATATAGCCCGATCCATCTTCATCATAAGCATTAGGTAGAATACAACATACTTAATATAGTGGAATAAGGAGCTAGAAATTTGTGGAGTCAAAATGACCACGTGGAGGCTGTAAGGGTGATAGCCGGCCATGGCGGGGGAAAATCTAAGCTGTCATATATATATATATATATATATATATATATATATATATATATATATATATATATATATATATATATATGACTGTCCCCATGGACGTCACAGTGACAGGCAAATCCGGATACGGACGCCGCCAAAGCATATATATATCCAATACTTTCCAATAAACAATTGGCAGTGCCACAACACACAGTAAAGAACGAAAAAGGGGAGAAAAGGCAGTAAGGGGAAGTCCAATAACACGTTCAACACTGGGCATATTCACAGGCCATAATTCATAGCGTTTCCAAACAGGTGTGTTCACTATCCTCGGAGCATTTGGATAGCCCCACTGTGGCCAACTGCAGTGCTGAGCGCTAGTCACCAGCCAGTCCTGGATGAACATCTTGCAATTGGAAAGAGCAAAGGTCATCCCGAACTGTGAAGCATATATCTCCAACCTGCGCAGCATGTCATGGGCAACCTGCGAAGAGTCACAAATTACGGCGATGTCGTCAGCATACTCCAGGTCACAGAGCCGATCACCTGCCACTGTTTCCCAGAGCACTGTCTAATATGTAATCAATAGCGAAGTTAAACAAAAAGGAATGATGCGAGGGAATCTTGTTGCACGCCAATGGTGATACTAAAAGAGTGTGATAGTTCACTGCCCACTCACATTCGGCCCGTGAGTAAATGGCTTGAAGAAGGTTAACCTATTTCTCGGGCACTCTCTATCTCAGCAGACAACTCCATAAACCGGTTCTGTCAACTGAGTCAAATGCTGCACTTATGCCAAGGAAGAAAATGAATTGGATGGATATTGGATGTTGCCCACCTGAAAACCGCATTTCACGACCGGTTTCCAATTTACTCGATCTCATCGGGTAGAGATTACAGACGTCCGAACCCGGGGCACCGAGTCACAACGGACAACGTTTGTCGCAACTGATAACGACTGATTGAAGGGTCATTTTGGAGCACACGTGTGTGGTTGGGTTGCGATGCGCAGTCTCAATATGGATCGTGTTTCGCAATCGTGAGTCTTGGTCGATTCGATCACCGGGACCGTAACTGAAGCAGATATATATTGGGTGTTGCCCACCATAGCAAATTGTCTATGTACACAACTGATCGTGATCGGCTCTTTCATTGCGAGGATGCGGCATCCGATAAGTTTGGAGTGAGTTTTCTCCATACGGTTGCTTAGGCGAGAGGCTTTATAGATAACGACGGGATGACTTGTTTACATTAAGTGTGCGACTATTGTAGTGGTGCACATTTTGTTCAATCGTCGGCTTAGCCTCGTTGCGGACGCGTTCAGACAAGCGGCTAGTACCGCAGCCTAGGTAACTTGTCCCACAGGAACAGGTAAATTAGAACACACAGAAAACGGTGGCATCCACAGACAATTTAGTCTTCAGCTGAAGCGGCAACATGGGCTTGGAACTGAAGAGAATGTGCAACTAGGCTGCACTAGAGGCGCTATTGACGGTTGCTTGCTAATCCGTTCAGAACTGTTGTTTCTCTTGAATAGCAATGGGAACAAACGGAAACTTAAGTGTGTACAACTGCATCAATATATGATCAAAAATGTTATAAACGTATGTGCCACCTGTTTATACTCTAGTCGTTCTTCGGTTTCCTAGTTAGCAGTAAAAAACGTCTTACTCAAAGAATCACTGGGCTCACTAATGTCATTACCAGTGCGCAATCGTTCTCTGAATCGAATGGGAGTGAAAAGTAAACCCAACATTTTGAATTTTTGATGCATTCGTCTTAGCAGCTCACAAGCTACATAGCCCAAACAAAATGCGGAAAAGCACCAGACGCGTTTCGCTCCATTGGGGCTCGTCAGTGGAGCACATTCCCTCGGTCCCATACTGGGGATCGAACCCATGACCGCTAGAGGCTGACGCCAGCTAACCAGCAGCTTAAGCCATGGAGGCCAGCAGCTGGGCTGCATAAATTGCAAGCTAACTGGGGTATAGCACGACCGAACTTCCACTGACGCGCAGGTTACTACCCTTGCAGATGACAGTGGCTAGCCTCTAGGTCATGACTTCCTCTCACTAGACGCTATATCCATACCAGTCGAAACTAGGAGAGGCTGCCGTTTGATATTACTTATGAATAGACTGATTTTAGCGCTTTCCGGATGGTGGTTCAGCTAGCTAGCTCGTGAACTGCTGAGACGAATACATTAAAAATTACAACTAAAATCCTCCCACTCATAAGAAATGCGTCACAGAGTTAGCCTCCACAACCTGTTCTGGCAGAGTTTCAAATATTTACCACTCTACTTCCGAAACACGGGCTGGAAAACCCGGTTTATATCCGGCCCAGTAAGCTTGTACCCATGCCCGCGTGTGCTGCACGGCGTTAGCAAGTGAAGCTGCGGCCCCAACATGGAGAGCCACCGAGCCATAATATGCGAGAGATCATGACAAGATCGATTAGTAGCCGACGACAGGACAAGGTGTAGAAGCTTAGTTCCTCGCACCGGTCTTCGTACAGCAGCCCTCGCAAATTCGGAACGAGCCTCGTGGCGAAGTGTTGGACCTATTCGCACTCCTGCGTCTCGCCTCAGGTGATTGGACAGCAGGCAAGCGAGCCGTGTGCCAATATTGGTCTTATGGCAGAAGAAGCGGGTGGGACCTCTTCAGACCAAGTATAGAAGTTGCGTTTGAGTGTATAAAGCAGGCGCAGTCCGTTAGGATATAACCTGTGCCTATTATCCACGGACTTCAAGTCGCGGTGGGAGAGTACCTCTAGGTCCTTCACGAAAGACGTGGGATGTAATGGATGATATTCAGTGGTGTGCGTTCGGACATCACCATCCTACCCTATTCCAAGGCTCATGAATTCCGACTTGCTTTCATTCCAACTGCGGGTGTTTTGGTGTCCCCAGTCAGTTCGCATGTCATTATCACTGAACGCTTTAGAATAGACGCTATAAAGTCAAATTGTCCTCACTGTGGCTTCGATATGTTGTGGGAACATATCTTCGTAGCTTTTCCGGTAAGACATCGGACTAGGCTCTCCTTCTGTCGGATCGCCACAAAGTCGTTCAAATGCGCACACTGACCCAGCCGTATCACTTTCATGTGGATTTTACGATGCAGTGAACCATTTGGTCAACGTGAAGTCTGAAGATCCACGAGGACAGAGCTTCACTTCACTCCGAATGAATACCAAATAGGATACTTTCGTATGTCTGACTGAATTCTCACAATAATTCAAACTAATCCACAGAAGCGTCGGCTATGCACACTACATCATCAACGTTGCGTCTATAGAGTGGCAGCAGTTCAAACTGCATACAGTTATCTAGTATGGCCGTAAACACATCAGTGACCGAATGGTGACCTCACAGTTCACCGCTGTTTTGTAGGTATAGCTGTCCAACAAAACGAGAATAGACCTTGTGAACATACTGATGTGGCAGTTTTCAGCTCCTATCGGTAAGCCGAATATTGCATGTGCACCCAATGTATTCGAGGTGATCGATAGTCTCTCTAAAGGGAAAATTCCTGGGCAATGAAATTAGCTGTTAGTGTCAAACGTTTTGAGCTCCAAGGAACTCGAGAGTATCCCGAAAACTGCTAGTCGCCGGTTTCCGTCTTGTCAATTTTAGTAGTTAAATCAAAAACGTCAACGTACAACATGGAGACTTATTTATATCTAATATGGGACGTAAGAGGAGTATGTATGGCTTATGCAAGATGCGTAAGCCATACAAACTCGACATGATGGTACTGACCGATGAATTCTTTGAAATGCCATGGAATCGAACAGACACAACATTTTAGCTCGTTAACCTACTATGTGCTATATTAATTATATTGTATTTGGCTCGATGATGAATTGCCAAAAGCGAGCTTGTTTGCTATGGCTTTACACTAACGATTCTGGACCCGAATCGTGATGAGTCCAGTCGTCGTGGCACGCACAGAGATGGTAAAAGTAAGAAAAGGAATAAAATGTGACAAGCTGTAAACGTGATTAAGTAAATGAATGCAAAAGCATCGTCAGTTTCGTGGCTGAACCAAGGAAGATAACACCCACATTAAAGGGACCCATTTATGAAGATGGGGCAAAGAAACCTGAACAAGTCCTCTGATACTTCCTTCACATTCTCTTATCGACTGGCGCCCTGTGGTTGCATCCAAGTGAGGACAGCAACGGTTAAAAAAACGCACACCGGAATAGCCGGCTGGTAAGCACAGGTGGGATCAAAAGAAGACTTAGTGCGGGTCGGAGGATTAGCTGCCGAGCACCATCCAACTGACGGGTCTCATCACCACTCCCTCGGTGGTTCAAAGAAATGTGACCAGTGCTTCACCGGCCCAAGTGAACAAAGGCGACCAAGCTAAGGCATCAGCAGTACGCTGCTGCTATGCGAACATTACTAGTCACGTGCGAGTTAGGTACACGGCAGATTTGAATTGGTGACATTTGTGTTGCCTCAATGTGTTTAGAGCTATGAATCTGATCCGTGCAACAGCGGTGTACACCTTACCTTCGGTCGACAACATAACATCAAATAGTCTCCACAGTCGCACAGTTGGCACGTTACGTTTCTTCGGAATCTAACCACAACAGAAGTGGAACCAAGAAAAGTCAACGGATCGGTCATTTCCAGTGGTTGTTTAGTGGCAATGAAGGTTCGCAGAGCGTCACATGTTTGAAGCAAGTCCGAAGCAAAGTTCAAAGGTAAATAACACGTAGTAAAGCTTGCAGTACTCTGAGCTGTACCGGTGCTTAATTACGTTCGTATAGTGCGGAAGATTAGTGGAAGCAACTAAGGTTGGCATTGGGGGTCACGTGTTAATGGACAACGGGTGTTTAGAAGGTAACCAAGGGTTTGAAATGTGGCAACACGAAGCCCAAACCTCCAGTTTCTGGTGTTGCACCATGACAAACAGAACGGCGGTATCGTAAGGAGAAATTTCGCCAAGATGAGCTAGTGCATATAACGCACAGGTTCATGCTTGAGTGAAAAGAAGTGTATAAGTATTTCCTGCGAAAATCACATACGTCATACAGCTATGGACAACGCTACAAAGGCTCTCGCTTGACTAACAACCGATGCAAGTAGCCGGTAAAACAATTTCAAGGTGCGATCGGGTCGCGTGTACACCAAAAGACATCACGGTAACCACACTGAGTAAAATACAAAAGACAAAGTGAACTGGGCCCCGGCTCACAAATTTGATTTAAAAAAAGCCTACAGTTGAAATTAGACCTTGAGCGCGCCCCTGCTAAAGGTCCCAGTCAGTATCGAGTCAAGTGTAGAGTATTCTAGCAGCGCAGTGCGCGATTAACAAAGAACATTAGGAGCAACACCATTCGCCAACCTTTAGTTTCATACGCTGTCCCCTCCCAGTTGCAAGGCGACGGCATCCAAACCAATGAATAAAATGACTAAAGTAGGGCAGAGAAAGGTTTATGACTAGCTTAGAGGAAGGACTACACAGATCAAAGAAAGGCACAAGATCGACGGAACAATGTGTGGACATGTTACCTGGTATAGGTATAACTGCTGCCTCATGCTGAGGTTGTATATATCACGATTCTTCACCACAGTTGGATTACACCGAGTTACATTTATACTAGATCTTTCTAACCTGGATAAAAAGTGTGCCGTTTCATTTGATTTCCTCAGTTCTGTTATTCTGCTGCATATACCGTACAAGTTTTCGGGATTATTTTTGTCAAATGCGGCGTTGATTGCTTGGTATCCCCGGTGTGGCTGCGCATGACAAGGTGCCTACCGGTCTAACACCCTCCAACTCGATTGATGATTCCAGAGAACCGTTAATCTTTGCTGAAGGGACGGGTCCACGTTCCTCGTGATCGTGCTAAACTCAAATGGTAGATTCCATCCAGTCTGGAGCGGACTACCGACCGGCCATCGCCTTGTTTATGTCTGGTAAGCACGATTCTCCAGTCAGACAAACAGAAATGTTGCAGCTGTGCATGCTGAAGAAGTGTGGGCCGGCCCGGTTGGCGAAAAGTAGCTCCCATCCGCATGCCTCCTTTCGGGTTTACACTGGATATGGGGTGTGTGGATGGAGCTGTGCGTGGTGCAGCACAAGCCACCCTTGGTCCTTCTGTAGGCGAAGGGCAAATCCAAAACCCAATGCCGCCAACCATGTGCATAATTGAACATCTCAATTAACAATATGATTCGTATCAGATAACCTATGACTACACGTACTGCGAAGACATTTAGTGGCAAAAGTGCAGGACTTAGTTTGGTATGGTTCCTCCTCAGTGACAAACGGAAACGTTTATAAATAGCACAGTCTGGAAGGAAGTGTTTTATCAAGCCCCAGCCTCTAGAATTACACATGAAGTCCCGGAGACAGAGTTCAACTCAGCTGTAGTCCATTCATCATTAAATATCTAGGAGGGTTGGCTCCGTCTGTGGGACAGATCTGGTACGATAGGAAAAGCTGTGAATGAAAGACAACAAACAGGCGGCTGAGTGAAAATAAGGCAACTGGATGCAACAGATCGAGAAGCCAACGAGATAAGATGGATGAGCATAGAAGAGAATCGCCGAGATGACGCAGCCCCACTGAAGAGAATCAAAACAAATAAGGGACACAAAAATCAGCAGAGATGTGCATTGAACAGTAGGAGACCATCTGAGGGGGCATCAGTCTAACATTTGTTAGTAGATGAGTGCATCGAGAAGACGTGTGGAAAAGTGAAGGAACCACATGAGGAGTGTCCGAAGTGAATTGTGTATGTACATCCGAGGAGGGAGCGATGCACAAATGTGTGCAAGTGATATCAGTCAAGCGATTGTTTGCTGACACACATGGTAAATAGGCACAGAGTGTCCAGAGAGCTGGAACATGGAAGTAAAATGAACACAAAAAGTAACAAAGCACACACACCGCATGGCCTGCGTTCTAGAAAAAAACATATCAGGAACAAGAGGACGTATATGGTGTGGTGAACACAAGTTGCTGGATTGGATGGCTTGGGTAGAAACAATAGCGGCAATATCCACTGGAGGCAGAACATCTAGGGAAAAAGAGAGAGAATAAGAACAAAATATTTGTCATGTGTTTCCTGATAGGTAAAGTGGGAATCATTGGCCTGTAAGTTCAACAGTTAACTTGTTTACACGAGCAAAGATACAGATAACCGTTAGCTCCTAGTCTCGGGTAATCAACACTCTTGCTAGTGAGCGGAACATGAATACCGATTAGTCACAACTGCTTGGATCAAGATGGATCGATGAAAACGTCAGAGCAGTGGTGCAGAAAAGTTGGCAAATACTCATAGATGCGGCGTGCGCACATCGCTCGTATGCCGAAATAACTAACCACCACGAGTGTGCTACGACAAGGGCAAAAATAAATTTTCGTCGACCAGACAAAATCAAACAAGCGACAACGAAGGGACGGATGAACTAAAGGAATAGCCAAGTCAAAATAAGACTGATACACCCGGATGGGTGCATTTGCATCACTTAATAGTATCAACTGCGGATGAAGTACAATGAACTCATGTAAAATGCACTGGCGCACTTGAGTAAAAGGACCGGTATTCGGAAACAATGAGCGCACATTGAGAAATCTCCTCTGGATTTGTTCCCGGCCGACAGAGTAGAGCTTTACGAAGGCAATTCTTCACAAGTGGTTTTAAGTGGCATGAAATTTCGTGACCAAAAGCAACAAATCGCTAATCGTGCGCGGTATCTCGAACCAGTATTCAAAATAGAGGGAGTAAGACGGTCTTACTGACCTTGGAAGTAGTTTGGGTAAAAGCAGTTGTCAGAAGATCCTTCCAAAAGTGAAGTATCCGCAGTAAATAAAATAAAAACGATGGTTAGTGAGAAGGCAACGGCGGATTTAAAGGTTCCATCACTACGCTGGTAAACATATGGCAGAAGTCATAGTGTTCAACAGGTGTTGAAATCGGAAAGCACGTTAGTTTAGTGAGCAGTCAGCATGCAGAGTAATACGAAGTCCACCAAAGATATGAGCCCAAAAGCAGGAAAAACAAGATTGGAAACAAGTTGATGAAATTCCACATGAACGAAGTCGTTTCCAAAAGGACATTCGACATTAGTAGCTGCACTGAGTGTAAAAAGCAGCAGGAGCGGTACATCCGTATTTTGTGATAGCGCTTCCCAGAAACCGTAAACGGTTGCACCCGAAACTGAGACGAAGTATGCAACTTTGCAAAAATCAAACGTTATTACGCCACAGTAATGGCACATTGTTGGTACAAAATGCCTGACATCCACGCCACGTAACTAACAATGATCGTCAACACAAGTCCTGCATCCAGATGTAAGAAGCCTCGATTTCCTGTTTCAAGGAGGCTATGGAAGCAGTAGCCACTGGTAACAAAGTTGTTCATAAAATTTAGACAGGAGTGAGTTAACAGGATAACTGGAGGGCGATTTTGAAGCAATCGTTGTGTGAATGGATTACGATGTGCACTCAATGCGGACCGCGATTCCCATTGAAGTGAACCCTAGTCAATTCGATCGCTAAAAAAGCAGGAAGTTGGGTGTTCCTCGCCCGAAAACACTGCACTCCCCGACGCATTTCGACCTTATTGGATCTCATCAGGTAGAGAAGAACAATGATTTATCACGCGCAAAAATAGGTGCTTGACAAGTTACATAGGATGGTTATAGTGAGAAAAAGTAGATCAAGGGATAAGTGAATCGTCGGTTTAGTCGACTACAGATTTAACTGCAGTGCCGTATAACGGTAATTTGAAATGAGAGTTGAGTGTGCACACACAAAGCAATATAGGGAGTGGTTCTAGTTCATACAATGCGTGATACGGGATACGTAAATCTAGTAGCAGCGTTTAACAAATTATGTATTGAAGGTGCAAATACGCATGTTGATTGCTACTACTAGTTTGACGCTGGGATATAACAGATTATACGGTGTAATGCAAATGTATGAGTACATTGCCTAGAGGCTTTTCAAATACCGTAAGTGTAGGAGAAGGAACAACGTAAGGGAAGAGGGCGTTTCATGGTTAGCACACTAGAAGTAAAACGAAATTCTGGCGACAATCCAAACGGCTATAGTGTGTGGTCGGCTTTAGCTGGTGACCTCTCAATATAGTATTGTGATTTAGCTTCAGATGACTACAAGTGTGGTTCGGAATCTTTTGGATCAAATATGTCATTATCAAATCGCCACGTAGGAGTCGATATTGTCCACTGTAGACTCCAAGGGTTTTAAACCTCAGTTGGTAAGGGAGATGAAACAGACCCTTTACATTCTTGGCCGCTCTTCATCGTGGCAGTTCAAGTGCGTATTCTGAATGGGGTCTTACATAGACATTGTGCATGTGATAGAAGGCTGAAGGGTCAAAAGGCCCGAACACTTTCCGAAAAAGGCCAAGGTGTTGGTTGGCTTTTCGGACGCCTTCTCAGTCTGACGTGAACAGCCAAGATCTCCTTGTACTATCACACCTAGATTGCATTCCGTAGTAGCACGCTGCATTGATTCCCCAGCGTGTAGGTGCAACTGGATTGACAGCGTATGTTTAAGGTCTTACACTTGATGGCGTTGAAATGAAACAAGTTCTGAATAGCTTATTCGTGTACCCTATCAAGGTCATCCTGAGGCGCTACGTGGTCACTCGTTGTGTTGGTGGCCCACCATATCTAGAGATCATCAGCAAAAAGTAGAATATTGGAAATGATCACTTTTGCAAGGTCGTTGAAGTAAATCAGGAACAGGCGTGGACCAAGTACTGAGTCATGTGGTACTCTGCACTGAAGACCGATCGGGTCAGAGATGGCGCTGCGAACTCTCACATTCAGATGTCGTTGAATAAGAAAGTTCCCTATCCACCCGAGAATTTTATTACTAATTCTACAGCTCTGAAGCTTGTGAATGAGGATGCGGTGGTTCAGATAGTCGAAGGCCTTTGAGAAATCCAGATAAACTGTGTCAACTCCCACACTACTGTTAACGATTTCAGTCTAACTGGAGCGAGCAAGCAGCGGGTTTGTAGTGCAAGACCGGTTCTAACGAAATCCATGCTGTCCCGGTGCTATGATTTTGCATGCTGCCAAGTAATTCATAAGCGCCTCGGCAACAATAGAGTCCATGACGTTGGACAGCACCGGCAGGTGAGTTATCGGGCGAGAGCTGGATCTGCACGATTTCCTCCTTTGTGAATGAAAGTGACGATTCCGTGCTTCCACATTGTGGGAACAATTCCTCGAAACATCGCTGGTAGAACTTAGGGATTGGGTGCGCCAAATTCAATGCAGTTAACGTCAGCGCCTTTGGTTGGATATTATCAACACCAGGAGTGGCATGCTCGCGTAGGAGATTCAGACTTTTCAGAAAACCAGTAGCCGTAAACGAGATACGACTAAGTCCTGGTAGTGGTATGACTTGCGTGAATAGCGTAGAAGAGGAAGTTATGTTCTGGAAGTTTGGGGAGAACAGGTGACGTAGGGTGTTGGTCGCTTCTGCTGTAGTTTGTGATAGTCCACTTGGTGTGCGTTGGGCAGGGATACCTCTCTGCACCTTTTGGAGCTTGTTAACATGCCTGTAAAGGAGCTTGGGGTTTAACGAAAATGTATCGGTCAGATCCTGTTAATGTTTTAGCTTATCCTCGCGTACTAGGTTCACACAATGATTTCGCTGGATAGTGTAGGCTCCGCATGTTTCGGCATCCGGGGACTCCTTGTATTTTCGCCAGAATGAATCTCTTGCGATCATGCACTTCCGCGTCCTGCTGCGTATGAATGGCTTTACTCCCGTCGCAGGTGCGGGCATATTTTTCGAAGCACTAGCAACTAACTTGTGCAATTGATGAACAAAACCCCACCAGGCGACATCGGGGATAATTCAGCTAGAAAGGACCAGTCAGTTTCACTAATGAGTGTGGTCAGGACAGTGTACTCGGTACTGAGCTGAGAGTCATCGGCGTTGTCCGCGGAATACTCCGCATAGCAGATGTAGTTGAACAAGGGTGTTACATAATCGCTGCGGCCCAAAGGACTAGCTATCGATACTGTTTCTATCCTAAGCTCCTCATTGGTGAACAAGAGATCGAGGATACTTGGTTTGCTCCCCGTCCTGAATCTTGTGGGGGAGAAACGTGGTTATATAGTGGCAATCCACGGACTAGGCCCTGAAATTCCATTTTCATTTTCTATTCGAGACAGGCTGGGGTATCTAGGGCGTGAACACTGAAGTCACCAATCAAGAGGATGTGACTGTGTGCCTGTGCGAGGATAGTTTTCATAGTGGAAGCCAGGCGATTGTCTATTTCTGAAGTGGAAGAAAGAGAGCGGTACACGAGGCCCACCAACCATGTGTCACCAGGTCTTAGGTGAAGACGACACCATGCGAGTCGACAAGCTGGACATCTGGTTCATCGATTAGATCAAGATATAACTCACTGCAGTAATAGAGTAGTACACCATCCCCTATATTCGGCCGATTGTTGCGCAGCACGGACATTCCGGCGTCCATGATCACTTCCCTCAACCATGTCTCGGTTACCATGACGAGGTTTCACAATATCGTAGCATGCCGTAGCCGAAGTCCTATCAGTTTACTGAGGTCTTGTGCGTTAGTATAAAAACAAAAGAGTACCTTGTGTTAAAAGTGTGCTAGAGGACGTCAAATTCATGTTTAGTTTTAAGCCGACCGACAAACGGTCGACCGCTAATCGTTTTTTGCGTGGGTCATTGGTTCATGACTTTCGGTCAGGTTGCATACTAGAGCGCATAGAGCGTTCCAGATCGCGATGTTCTCTCATGCGTCTCTCTGTGAAGTTAGGTGTCGAGAGTGTTGCTGTGCCTATCACAGTGCAAGACTGTGGACGTAAAAGTCTTACTGAGGTTGCATATTCCAACAAAGTGCTGCTAACTCGTGGCCGTGCGCATGCTATCCTCAACCTAATCGCAGTTGGTAACCTAGGGCGAGGTTTCAACCAGCTATTCAATAGGGCTTCTGTCGGAGTGTAGTGCCATTTACAATATTTTTGGACCGCAGCCCTTGTAGTTTAGAGATGAA